CCCCCCCCCCCCCCCCCCCACCTTCTTATCACCATCCGTGCTTTTGGTGACTGGGGTGTGTGTGCCTCTCGCGATTGCGCGCACCATGCTCACAATATTTTCGTGTTTCATGGTCTATGCTGCATAGTCGATTTAGCCTATAGGCTACAAAACAGGTCGTCGTTGGCGTGTTCCCTGCCACAGATGAGCTTTTGTGGAGGTTTCGTGGATGATTGGCTTCGTAGAAGCGCACGTCGGACCACCATTGGCATGGCCGGCTATATTTCTTGCGACTGGTTCGTAGAAAGGAAGGTTTATGTAAGGCACCAACGCGTCCTGGGCATACTGTAGCTTCTTTTGTTACTAAGCAGGGGGTAGCACCCCTAATCCGGGCCTCGTTCGAATCAATAGGTGATGCTGAGCACGTGTGTGGCTAGCTCTTGCCACACTCAATCTTGGAACCCCTTTACTCCGTCCTTCCTCCGTGCATTTATTGGACTCAAGAAGCGAGGGAGGAGCGTTTTGTTGTCGCCATGTGATTGCAGTCGAACTCCTTATAAATGGGCTTCAGAATCTGATAAATCTACCATTTTCATGAATGTGTTCTACCGTGCTCTTGACATCAAGGACGGATGCCAGCCAGAGGACATCAATAACTTCTTCGCGTCGGCTGGAGGTGTGGCGACGGGGGAGGCGGAGGAGGAGATGGATGAGGAGGCCAAGATCGCAGAGCCGCAAGCCGCTTGATCAGGTCGCTGATTCGATTCTGAGCGACCAGCGATCGGTTCTTGACCGATCGGTTATCCTTTTTTTGGTTTCGAGGTGGCATTACAGCAGGGCCTGCCGACCTAAAATATTTGTGGGAGTACCGATGGTGTGAATGGTTCGTCATTGTTTGGTGTCGAGGTAGTGTAAGGAGCTGCCACCAATAACATGTGGGGATATGGGAACATTGATCTTGATGTGTTTGACGACGATGTGGATGAATAAGGCCCGCGACGGGGTGTTCTTCCATCCATCCGATCGGTTGCGAGATATGGGGGGACAACGTTTCGATTTTTGTTGCTGCAGGTACATGTCTTCCCTTGCAGAACAGGAGCTCCTCCACCATGCTTGGCCTTTTTTGTTTCTTGTTGATTCAATTGGCTGTATCGAGGCTGGCTTGCTGCAGCAGCCGCCACCGCCGCCGCCGCCGCCGCCGCTGGAGGCTTCCGTTGTACGCAAAGTTCACCAGCGAAAACGCTTGATCCACCGAAGTTTTAGGACTTTTGTCGCCCCGGTATAAGTAAGTCGTTGATTGGGTCGGCATTTTTTCTTTTTGGTCATGGTTATCAACACCTCTGCCTGGTTTGTAAGCAGCTGGCTTGTAAGTGCGCAAGGCGCGGCACGCTCTAACTATACCGTAGTAGGGTTAGTGTTGACTCATCTGGTGTTTTTTGGCGGTTGCTTTGGTGCCATGAGTTTGTTTTCTTGACTTTTTTTGCAGGCAAGACCCACTGGGGTGGGCGCCATGTATGTCTGTTGCTCTCTCACTGTGCATATCTACGCGGGAGATGCACGCATCGATTCCTAACTTATTGTTGAGATTGAGATATGTACCTAGTAACGTAATACAGCATTTTTGTTGGTGTATGTTATCAGTCAAGCGTATTGACACCTTCTGGTTTTCGTATGTTTACGGGGGGGGCGAGAGGGTAAAGTCGTGAAATGCGCGGTAGGATTTCGGGTGCCAGATGTAAATGTGTTAAGCGACCTGGCGTATTTGTTGTTGACTACGCCTTGTCTAGCTAGTTGGTGTAAGGGTGGGTTACTGTTTTACAACCGTGGCAGGATAATTTAGGGACAACAGGGGCAGGTGTTCATTGTTGTTCATGTGTCCGTGCCTGTTTCCTTCTGTAGTATTGCTTCCTTGAGTACTTTTCACCCAACGTTTATGCCTAAGAATGATTGGAATGATGATGGTGGCTCTCAAGGCATGACTTGCGCCGCTAATATTGCGGCCGGACTCAAAGAGAAAGAACATCTTGCGCTGATAAGCTTGTGCCTCTGCATATGATATCCCCTTAATTGTTTTGCCTTTCTCTTCGGGTGCTCGCAACCACGTTTGTTTCACGGCGATGTGGATTACCCGTCGTGAGAGTACTCCGTTCTAGGCTTGTTTCTGCTCATCGTGTGGGGTAAGAAAGACAGATCTTCGTTGTTCCGTTTGGGCGTGCCGAGGAAATGAAGATTTCCAGGCGTCTGTCTGAAGCCTAAGCCAACGGTAGAGCTCCCTCTCTCGCGCTCTCTTGACACGGTCGGTGTTGAAAGGCATCCACCAAGAGAATTTGGGTGAGACCCACCCTGTCTCCAGCACCGACACCAAACAAACGAACAGCAGCAGCGGCACTGTACCACCGTGTGTTGTACGTTCGGCGGGTGATGTCCCTGGTGTGTCACGCATATGACAACCCTCAACGTCGTGCATCGTACATGTGACAGCAAATTCATAACGTGCGAGCATCTGTCTCGCACACTGCACTATATGCGACAGCCACCATCAACATACGTGCGTACCTGACCTACCTTGGCTTCTCTGGTGGACCAAGTCCAAGCTTGACCAAAAAAAAAAAGAACTTACCGAGGCGTCTAGGGCCAGCCAAGCACCACAACGACCTCCGCAATTTTTTTGGCGTGTCTGTATTTTAATCCTCCGGTGGACTGGTGAAAAGATACTTCCCGCTCTCATACTCCGTTACTCCCATGCCCTGGTGCGTAGTGCCTGGTGCTGGTACGTGCCTGGTGCTGGTACGTTACCCTTTGATTTTTTCCTTGGGCGGGTGTGGGAAGCGTCCTCCTATATTTTTGTTTTATTTTTGATCGGTTTCCGAGGGCTCTTTTCTCGAACGGTCGGTGCAATACCCCTTCTTTTCTTTCAATAATTTTGTTTTCTCTTTCCGAGTGGTTTGTACCCTATTGTTGTTTTGTTTCCCCGCGGCGTCGTATGTGCCGGGTTTTGAGACCACGGGCTCCCCATTTTTTGTGGACTATTGAGCTAATGTGAGAAACAACAACAACAACAACAACAACAACAACAACAACAACAACAACAACAACAACAACAACAACAGCAACAACTGCTATTCCTCCCCGACGCTTTGGGCATCGCTTGGATCGTGGCGATGGACATCTTGACCACAAGCTAAACACAAACTCCAAAACCGCTCCATCCTCGACCTGGATGACTCGACGACTGCTGTCGACGCAACACCTGATCCTGCCGACGCAACACGATGATCGTTCATCGCCGGTGACGGCCATGGAATGGAACCAAGGTGAACGCGAGCGCGAGGCAGCCGGCCTTGGTCTGGGCGCGAACTCCTGTAGTAGACTACTCAGCTGTAAAGGTGGACCGAAACTTGGACCTTCAGGCTACGGACCTCACAACGTTTGAGGCACTGGTTTGATCATTTTTTGACGAAATTCTTGCGCGTTTAATTCCTCCGATATACCTTGTCTTCACGGAGGAAGCAGCGCAACAACGACCAAGTCTTGAAACTCGCACGACGGTTTCAATTTAACGTTTCTATGATTTCTATGAAGAAAAACATTTTCAGTACGGAGGGGGGGAAATGCCTCCTGGACTTCTCTGCAAATCATTACAACCCCGGAAAACAAATTTGGCCATGACTCGCGGTAAAAGTGAGTCCCATGGACGTTGCGAGCTGGCTCGAGTACCACCGAAGCGCGCATGATATGTATAGATGGTGACCGCGTTTCCTTTACGCATTCGACTATACACACACACCGCACGCTCAACACTACATGCACGCAGTGCGCAAAGACTACATAACTCTATTCTACATACATAGACGTGAGGATGTACCTAATGCAAACTATGCCACGGGAAAAACGGCCTTGAGGCCATGGAACAAGAGGTCCGCTGCGTGGGGATCCCTCGCCGCTGCCACGAGCACGTCTGGCCTCATGGACCGTATCCTGGCGTGGTTGCTCTCCGCCGAAGCTAAGGCCGTCAGGGTCACCGCGGCTGTGCGCCGAGCCTGAAAAGGGAACCGGGAGGGGGGGGCGGTGGAGGAACAGGAGGGTGGGGTAGGAGTATTTTCAGACTTGGATGGAGTATTGTCGGACACCCCACAACATAGATAGGTGGCGATCACGACAGGAAACAGCAGTGCGATCACACCGCCGTGTGACAGTTCTCGATATACGATCTTGAAAGCAGTCAAATCTGAAACCGATCACACCAGAACAACGGATAGCCCTCCCCTTCGGGCGAAAAAAAAAAAGAGGAAACAACAGAAAAAACTTCACCGACGACACACACGCATGAACGGCGCCATTTTGTTTCGTACTAGGGGGAAAAAAATAATTTCTGTCAGAATCGGTCGCAAGCTCCTTTCGGCACGACGACTACTTTGGAGGAAAAGAGAGCAACAACAGTGACGTTAGGGGCAAAAAAAAAACCCCCGCCACCGCCATCACCCTACATCCACAACACGACAAACACAAACACCAATTTTGCGGTAGCCAATGCTAACGTTTGTTGATACAATAAAATCACAACCACCACCTGACCACCTTACGACCGCAGAACCAACTACCTCCCACCATTCAACGCCAGGAGACTTGGCACAGTGGCAGCACCCAAATAACACACAGGCCTACCTCATGGTCCACCCGGTGGTCTCCTGCGGAGGTGGCGATGGCGAGGCAGGTCAGGGCGCGGATGCAGCCGGGGGCCGCGCCTAGCCTCGAGCGGAGGTTGTCCGACACTCCGGTGAGAAACGACATCACCTCCAGAGCCGTGTCCCGTACCTGCTGTGCATGCCGGCATGTTTGAGTGTGACAGACCGACCAACAGAAGCCAAAAAAACATAGACGCACACACACACACACACGCAGCAGGCGTCGTTTCAAGTCAAATCCTGTCCCGCACCTGTTGCCGCCCCACCAATTTATGTGTGACCGACGGACCAACAGATATAAAAACACACACACGCAGAACAAACGTCGGTTGTTGTTGTCTTCAAGTCAAGTAAGAGTTTACACAGTAGCCCTCGGCTTCACACACCGTAGAACGGGGAAATAAAGCAGGTGATACCACAAAAAAAACTCGCCGGTGGTGGCATGCATGGCTCATTGATCGCTTCTTCTGGCCCCCTTGTTTTTTTCTTCGAACGCACAGAACATCACAAGGGCCTGGTAGGAGACGGCTGAGCAGCTCATCTCCCATGGTTAGATCGAACCTCTAGATCAATTTTGATCCACTATCCATGGTACTTGATAGCTGTGCAGGCTTAGCAGCATTTGCTTTCCCCCGTGATTATGTTCATGAATATCCTTCCTCCTACCTCCAAGAATGACAATAAAACGCCCCCCCCCGCCCCCCTCGGTGTTTGCCATCGGGGTTGGGTTTTCGTCGCTTGGCAACGACGTTGTAAAACAAGCCAATTCACTTCGTGAACTCGGCAACCAGGTTACCGTTTTTTTTTTTTTTTACCTCCGTTTTTTTTTTTGGCGGTAACCATAATGGTGGCCGAGTAGATCATGTTGTGCGGGGTCGAGAACCCTCGCTCCGCGCAAGGGGGATGATCGCACCACGTTGTGTTAAAATGGTCAAGCACCCTCGAGGCAGTTACACAGTGCTTACAACTGTCTCTGGAAGTGAAAGC